TCTAGGCGCACGCACCTCGTGACACCCCTTTGCAAACTGCGGGGGGAGGACCCGCGCCTCGCGAGGCGGGCCGAAGGTATTCTAGGCTACGCGCCCCCGCCCCCCGCCCCCCGCGCCCGCTAGTGCCCCTCGCCCTGGCATCGGGCACCGCTGGGCGAGCGAAGGGCGAGCCCTCGGCCAGGCGCGGGGGGGGGGGGGGCGGGGAGGGGGGGCGCGGCCACAGGTGGCAAGGTGTGTTCCAAGCTCCAGCCCAAGTGGCTGCGGAGAAGCCACCACGCTCTCTCCGTTCTCGGCCGTACACTGCATGCTACTTCAACACATCCTCATCTTCTTTTTCAGAATCATCATCATCATCATCATCATCATCATCATCATCATCATCATCATCATCATCATCACCATCACCATCATCATCATCACCATCATCATCATGAGCAGCATCACCACCATCATTATCGCCACCATCAGTCATAGTAATACTACTGATCGTACTAATAATAATCATCAGCAGCATCATTATCATCCTAAGCATCATAATTATCAGCATCATCGCCTCATCATCCTCCTCATCATCGTCAGCCGCATCTTCATCATTTTCCTCCTCCGCATAAGCATAATCAGCATAATCATCAGAATCATCATAATCATCATCATCATCATGATCATGATCATGCTCATCGAGAATCGTCAGAATCGTCATAAGAATCATCAGAACCATCATCATGAGCATGATCATGATCATGAGGATCATCGTCATCGTGCTCGTCAAAATCAGCACCATCAGCAGCATAATCGAGATCATCAGCATCATGACAATCATCATTACCATCGGTAACAACATCATCATCATCATCATCATCATCATCATCATCATCATCATCATCATCATCATCATCATCATCATCATCATACGCATCGTCCTCATCACCATCACCATCATCAGCAGCAGCATGATCACCGTCAGCATCACCACCATCATCAGCATCATCGTCAGCATCGCCACCATGACTAACATCATCATCACCGCCACCATCACTATCACCACCACCATCATCATCATCATCAGCATCGTCATCCAAACCAGCACCATCATCATCATCACCATCATCAGCGTCCACATCAGCATCAGCACCGTCATCACCATCATCAGCATCAGCATCAGCATCACCATCATCATCACCATCATCATATTGATCATCACCGTCATCATAACCATCATCATCAGCATCATTCTCGTCATCATCATCATCAGCAGCAGCAGCAACATCATCATTCTCTTCATCAGTATCGCCATCACCGTCCTGTCTCCTCTACATTGCAGTCTCTTCTCGTCAACCACTCCCTGCCATCCTCTCTCATACGCCCCGCCTCCTTCGTGTTCCCTGTGTGACTCATACGTGTCCTCCGTCCTCCCGTGTATCATCCCCCTCCCCACTCTTTCGTATTCACATCCCTCTTCTGTCTGCATCGTCGCAATCCTCCTCCTCATCTTTCTCCCCCTTCTCCCCCTCGTCCTCCTCACACAGTTCCGTCTCCACCTCCTCTCCCTGTTAGCCACACCATCGAGTCCTCAACCTCCTCCATCTACCCCTGAATCCCATATCCTTGCCCTCTTCCCACCCGCTCGCCCGTCCTCTTCACCTTCCCATGCGCCTCCGGCCTTCCCCTGTCGTCATCCCCCTCACCGCCCCCCCTCCATGACTCCCTCCTCCTCCTGCTCCCCCCTTCCCATTATCAACATCATACTCTTCATCGCCCCAGTATCAACAGCGTATGTGCGTCACGTGCCTCCCCCCTTTCTGCCACAGGTGCCCCTCCTCCTCCTCTCCACACTCCACCACTCTGTCCACTGCTCCCCCCTATGTGAGCGAGGCGCCCTTCCTCCCGCAGACTGCGTGCCACGTATGGGATGCCAAGCGCTGATATTTCACATGGCTGTCTTCGGATTGGAACGTCAAAATAGGAATCCCGCTGCAGCGTTGGCCTCAGTTTGGGATCACGCTGCAGCGCTGGCCTCAGTTCAGGATCGGCGCGTTGCCCGCGTCGCTCAGAGTAGAGTGGCGTTCTAGACCAAGCACGGGCCACATTCCTGGATCCTGGTCCTTCCTCGTCGCTGTCAACCTCCCCCCCCCTCGTTTCCACTCCTCTACATTCTCCAGATCATCCTGCTCCTCACACTCCTCCTACTCCTGCTATTGCTCCTCCTCCTCCTGCTCCTCCTCCTTCTCCTCCTCTTCCTCCTCCTGCTCCTCCTCCTCCTTCATCATCCTCATCCTCATCCTCAGTCTCATCCTCTTCCTCCTGCTCATCCGACACATGCTCCAGCCTCTCCAATGTACACAGCTCCCCCTTGTTTGATTGCGCACAACATGATGAAGGCATTTGTTTTTTTTGGGGGGGGGGGGTCCATGTCCGTTAGGATATCCGCTGGGGCAGATCGAGAAGCAACAACACAGTGGGAAGGGATGGGTGGGAGAAGCAAGATTCCATAATTGGTGGAAAAGCACCTAGACTGCCTCTCTCTCCTTTCCTCCCTGTACCTCTCCTCCCTACGTGCTCAGCGTAGTGTTCGTAATTGTTGCACTGGTGTTCCTCCACCTCCTCCTCCAACATTCCCCCCCCCCATCCTCATCCCGCCCTCATGATTGCTTTCTTCCCCTTCCCCCCGCACTCCCTGCTCTCTTTATATTCCCCTGCGCCTTTACCCCTCCCTTCAGCCTTCCCCTTCCCCTGATCCTGGATTGCAGCTCGTTTTCTATATGATCCTCGTCATCCTCCTCCTTTCTCCTCCGCTTGCCACACACTCTCTTCCCTCCTACAGAACGACATCATCACCATTAACATGACCGCTATCATTTCCTCCACTCCTCCCTTCCCTCTCTCCATCACCCTCCTCGTTCTCGTGATATTACTATTTCTTCTGCAGCCGCCTTCCCTATCATCCTAGCCCTCATCCTGCCCTCTCGTCCTCCCTCTCCTCTCTCCGTCCTCCTGCCCTCCTCGTCCTCCTCCGCCCCCTCCCCATCCTCCTCCCCCTCCTCCTCCTCCTCCTACTGCTGCTCATTCCCTCTCCGCCTCCTCCTCCTCCTCCTCCTCCTCCTCCTCCTCCTCCTCCTCCTGCCTCCTCCTCCTCATCCTCCTCCTCCTTCTGCCTCCTCCTCCTCCTCTCTCCTCCTCCTCCTCCTCCTCCTCCTCCTCCGCCTCCTCCTCCTCCTCCCCCTCCTGCTCCTCTTTTTCCTCCTCCGCCTCCTCCTCCTCCTCCTGCTCCCTCCGCCTCCTCCTCCTCCTCCTCCTCCTCCTCCTCCTCCTCCTCCTCCTCCGGCTCCTCCTCGTTGTCGATCCTCCCCCGCACTCTCCAACTCGCTCTCGACCCTTCCCGCCCCCCCTCCTGGCCCTCCGTGGGTCGGCGGTCTCGGGGCGCGCCAGCCGACGGCATCTTCAGGGGCGTCAGGCCCTGGACCTGCTGGATGGCGCAGTCGCACACCACCCCGGCGCGCGGGTCGTTGCCGCAGTACTCGGCGGGGCGTGCCGTGGTCGCCGCCGCCGCCGCCGCCGCCGGAAGGAGGCCGGGCGGGCGGGAGCGGCGGAGGGGACGGAGGGCGTCGAGGCTATGGGGGCCCGGAGGCTACTCATGCAGTGTTTGGCCTGCGCCTCCCGAAGGGTCCTCGGCGCCACGGGCAGGCGCCCCCTCGGAGAGCCTGGTCGGAGCGCCCGGGGGGCGAAGGCAGGCGATCGGAGGTCGCCGGAGGTGCGGTCTCGGCCGAGGGTGCCCCCAGCTTCTCGCGCCCACTGGTGAATCCCCTGGGGGCGGCCGGGCCCCGTGAGGAGGGGGCGGGTGGGAGGAGGAAGACAAGACAGATCCAGCTCTCTGGGTCCTCCTCCTCCTCCTCCCGGCGTCCTGCAGGAAACACCGAGGAAGGAGGGGGGAGGAGGAGGAGGGCCAAGAGAGCTGGATCTGTACTGCTTCGAGGAGCTCCTCCAAGGGAGGGGCGCAAAAGGGGCCACCGGATCCTCCCTGCACGAGAACGCGGCATACAAGGCACAATAAAGGCCTTATCGAGCCACGGCGAGCCTCGGCCACAAAGAAATTCTCCCCCGATTACTTCCAGACCAGAGGCGCGGCCCGGGGACCACCGAGTCAAGGAACCTCGTCGTCGTCGTCGTCGCCGTTGTCGTCGTCGTCGTCGCCGTCGTCGTCGTCGTCGTCGTCGCCGCCGTCGTCGTCGTCGTCGTCGTCGTCGTCGTCGCCGCCGCCGTCGTCGTCGTCGTCGTCGTCGTCGTCGTCGTCGTCGTCGTCGTCGGTGTCGTCGTCTTCAGGGTCGGCGGCACCGGCCTCCACGATCAAAAGCGCGGCTCGGGGACCAACGAGCCCAGGAACGGCCCGAGGATCAGAGAGCCCAGGCGCGGCCCGAAAGCCAGGGCCCCCCCTCGCAGCCCGAAGCGTTCCTGAGCTCCGCGCCCTGCCCGCAGCGCGGCGGTGGCCCGCCCCGCCCCCGATGGAGGAGGCCGCCGGGCCCGCCCGGGAGTCTGCGGGGGCGGGGGCCGGGCCCGACAGGCAGAGCTCGACGGAGGGCCTCGGAGCGGCGGCGGCGCATGTCAGGCGCACGCTGGCATGGATTACAGATGCGCGGGTCGGGCACTCCAGGCGCGGGTGAGGCCGATGCCGCCTAATTCGGCGGCGGCTCGCACCGATTTGTGCATTGACACCGGACCCGTCGCCAATCCACGCGCCTGAATCCGCGTTTGCGTTTCCTCGATTATGGAGCCCCTGGGCTGCGACTGGATGTGCTCCAGCTGGCCAAGCGTCCCCCGAAGGATTGGCTTTCCTCTTCCTCCTCCTGCGGCTCGAGCTGTGCGATTGTCGTCGTCGTCATCGTCGCCGTCGTCCTCGCCACCGTCGTCCCTCGCCTCCTCCAGGTTCCTCCCCCCACGCGCGCCTCCTCCTCCTCCTCCTCCTCCTCCTCCTCCTCCTCCTCCGTACCCTCTTGGCCGAAGATCCCTCATCCTCCTCTTCCTGTGGCTGGGGCTGTGCGGACGGGGGCCTGGTCGAAGTACTGTGAGGGGATGAGCGAGCGGATGAAGTTCTGGTAGTAACGCTGCGGGACCAGGAGGACCTGGTTCGTCCCCGTGTCCACCAGGAACCTCGCGGGCCGGGCGGGGGGCCGCTTCTTGTCCCCTATCGAGGGAACATCACAATGAACACTCGGTCCCCGGGAATGGGACGAGAGCTCCAGCGCCAGCGCATCGATAAGAATCGAAACATTGGAGGGCTGGGTCCTCCGCCTCCTCCGCCTTCGGCCCTCATGCGAGGCGATGGTCGGGCGTTCACAGGTGAGTGGCAAAGGAGCCTCGCGGGAAAAGGCTGCGGCGCGTTGATCTGGACCCCGCCAGAGACCATCCAGAAGGTCCTCTGGGCGCCCAACCGGCCGCCGGTGGGGTCGTACGCCTCGGCAGGCACCCAGACCAGCGTCTCTGGCTTGATCAGCGACTGAGGCACCTCGCCGAGGAGCATCTGCATGCCAGCGCCGGGATAGGCGCCGCCCGCAGGCGTCGGGCACACCGTGAACGAGCACCTCTGGCCCTGCTGCTGCAGGCTCTCGTAGAGCGTCGGGGAGAGCTGCGCGATGCCCTTCCAGCCCAGCCCGCAGATGCCGTCCCACATGCGCCCCTCGGGCAGCGCGGCGTCCTCGACGATGATGAAGGGCTGTGCCTGCACCGTCACGGAGCCGAACGTGAGCACGTCCTGGGCAGCGTAGCCGCTGACCTCGCCGCTGCCGTACGTGATCTTCACCGCGCGGGGCTTCGGCCCGCCGTAGCCCTCCTCCATCCCCGCCTGCGGCGGGCGCAAGGCGGGCCCGCAGGGAGACATGGGCCCTGGGCCCCCGGCCCGCCCCCTTGGCGGCGCGCAAAGGGGAGGGGGGGGGAGGGGGGGGAAGGCTTCTTAGAAGGAGGCTGCTTCTTAGAAGCCGCGGGCCTTACATTTACAGACAAGGCCCGCGCCTCCTAAGAAGCAGGGGTGCTTCTAAGAAGCCTTCCCCCCTCCCCCCCCCCCCCTTCTGCGCGCGGCTGACCCCTGCAAAAGGACCCGCTCCCCAGACCGAGCCGCTCTGGCCGACAGCCCCCGGGGGGGTCCACGAGGAGGGCCCCCAGAGGAGCCCGAGGCCGGCAACGGGGGCGCGGGGCCCACTGCGCCCGCCCTCGGGCCCCGCTGGCGTCGCGGCGCCTCGCCTGGAAGGTCGAGGACGCGTCCGCGCTGAAGTCGTTGTTGTTCTGGCAGCTCGCGCAGCGCGACGAGGGCACCCACAGGTCGGAGCTCCCCGAGTCGATCAGGCAGGTGAGCCTCTGCGGCGGCGTGCCGAGGAAGATCTCGGCGATCTGGGCGTGCTTGCGGGACACCTGGCCGGGCCGGGCCGCCCCCGCACCCCACGGTTTCGACGCCGCGCCCCTGCTTCCGCCGCCGCCCCGGTCTTTCATTGTTGAAGGGGCCCTGGGACACACAAAGAAATACACACAAACAAAAGGATTCCCTTATATTTTCCCATCTGTTCTGGGTTATTGTCTTCCCCCCCACTTCCCATATGTTTTCCATATTTTCTGCGGAATCGACGATTATTTGTGTCTGTGTATTTTTTCCCCTCCTGAATTTTATAGCGCTGCGCCCACTGGCTCCAGGAAGGATGCCTCGTGCAGGGACGGCTCAGATCTACCAGCCCTTCGGGAGGCCGGGCGCACCTCCGACGCCACACGCCATAGCATCCGCCGGCACACCCGCCGCCGTGTTACTTCCGCCGGCTTTTGCCAGCCTTCCCCCAGAGCACATGTGCTCGTCGACCGCAACGCAAGCTTCTTAGGGCGCCCCAGGACGAGGGCAAGGGTCCAAGACTGCCGCCTGGGAATGAGAAATCTCCGTGTGGCACGCGCCGGCCGGTCGGCCTCTCATTTGATGAGCCGTTTGCATGGGGTGCCGAAGGTGAGGCCCTCTCTCGAACGCCCCGCCTGGACCGCCATGCCCTTGCTGGCCGGTATCTGCCCGTCCTGCATGTTGCCGACCACGGAGGGGTCCACCTGGAAATCCGCGGCCCCCTTTGGGGGGGTCACCAGCGACGGTGATGTCCGAGATGCCTGCCCCCCCCAAGACCCCTCCCCTCCTCCTCCTCCTCCTCCTCCTCCTCCTCCTCCTCCTCCTCCTCCTCCTCCTCCTCCTCCTCCTCCTCCTCCTCCTCCTCCTCCTCCTCCTCCTCCTCCTCCTCCTCCTCCTCCTCCTCTCGGGGCGCAGCTCCAAGAGAGCCCCAGGGCGGTCCGAGAGGCCCTCCATCCTCGAGGGGTCCGAGAGGGCCGGAGAGGCCGCCAAGACAACCCCGAATGGCCCGAAGGGCTCGGCGGACCTCGACACCCCACGTCGTGTGACGAGTCACCACGTATCAAGCCATGGTCCGAGCCGTCGCCGCCATCTTTTGGCGGCGCGCAGAGGGAGGTAGGGGGAAGAGGGAAGGCTTCCTGGAAGGAGGCTGCTTCTTAGAAGGCGCCAGCCGTACATGTATAGAGAAGGCCCGCGCTTTCTCAGAAGCAGGGATGCTTTCTAGAAGCCTTCCCCTCTCCACAATCACACCATATGAATACTACTCTCCTCTCTCCCCTGATGACTTGGGCAAGATATTCGGCCCCCCTCCGCGTACTGCTTTCTTACACACCGGATTCCGGGGCGTTGGGTTTTCGCTTGGGTTGTTTTCAAGATTTTGCTCCCGCTGAAGCGCTGGCCTCATTTTCGGGCTTCCACTCGTTCCGAATCGTGCTCCCACTGCAGCACTGGCCTCATTTCCGCGCTTCCGCTAGATCCGAATCGTGCTACCGTTGCAGCGCTGGCCTCATTTCCGCGCTTCCGCTCGTTCCGAATCGTGCTCCCGTTGCGGCGCTGGCGTCATTATTTCCAGTGCCATGCCACGGCATGCAATGCAATGCTCTGTGATGTTCCGCTGTGCGATGCCATGCCTGCAGCTGCAATGCTAGGATATGCAGAGCTTGACTACGCAGTGCAACGCCATGCTCTGCCATGCTACGCTTATCTTCAACGCCATGCAATGCCATGATCTGTTCTGTGCCGCTGTGCGATGCCATTTTGTGCGTTTCAGCACTTTGTGATGCACGTATTCACTAAGCAACGCAATGCCATGCTATGACATACTGCGCTCTGCCGTGCTCTTCCACGCCCTGCTATGCTGCGCTCTACGATGCGTCGCGCACCCCCTCGGGATCATAGCCCTGCTCGACATCCGACTGTGCGAATAGAGAGGAGATCTACGCCATGGTAAGGGATGGGAGGGAGGGTAAGGCCATCAGACATGACGCGAGCGCATCTAGCTTACCCCACCCCCCTCCTCGCCATCGCTCGGACGTCCATTCCCTGTGTTTGTTTCGATTTCGTGCGTGGTTTTTTCGCCAAACGATCAAGGATGCTCCTCGAGTGTCTTCGCCGAAGGAAAATTGCACACGCCCCAGCGATGCCAAGCCTCTGCGCGTGGCCGAGTCGTTCTGCAACACCTCTCGAGCCAAATCGGCCCCATTCGGCGGTGGACAACCCTCCCTTTCGTAAACCTCCCCTTCGTGGAAACGGCCTGGGACCGAGACCGACGACCCTGGACCTGCCACAATGACGGCCGCGACGCCCCCTCGCGACCCGAAAACGGCCAATTCCTTAATCGACGTGTCAGGGTACGGCAGGTTCGTGCCGTGTCGACCTGGGCGTTGGTCCCTGACGCCGCGAGGATCGTTCAACCTTGAACGATCGGCCGCTGCCGCAACGTCCGATCGTTCAACATCGATCGATTCTGGGTCGCCAGCGGCGTTCAACCTTGAACGCCCGCGCTGGGGTCGCCGCTGGTCGACACGACGCAAACCTACCGTAGGAGGTCTGCCCACCCCCGACCCATGGGGCCCCGTGGCCCGAGGCGGCCCCCGCCCGTGGCGTCGGGGGAGCGGCGGTGCCGGCCGGAGGGACCGAAAGAGGGCTCCCACACAGCTCAAACGGGGCCCTCCAAGCGGCCCCAGGACGGCGGCAAAAAAGGGACCCCAAGGACGGCCCGACGGGGCCCCCAAAGGACACCCCCGAGACGGCCCCGAGGACGGCGGCAAAAGGGACCCCAAGGACGGCCCGAGGGGCCCCCGAAGACGCCCCCACAAGACGCCCCCCAGACCTGCCCCAAGAGACCCCCGAGGCTGTCCAGGAGCGGACGGGCCCGGAGATCGGACGCCGCAAGAAAGAGCGTCGCGAAACAGGAACGATCGTGGCCCTCGACCCCTGCACTTCTGCGGCACTCCTCGAGCCGCACCGGTCCGCCAGAGCTCCGGGGCCCGAAACTGGGCGATAACGCTCTGCGACCCCGGATCTCAGGGGACCGCTTGCGCCGCCAGGGCATGTCCATTCCCACTGCCGCGGGGCCGTGCTCTGGGCACGCGATGGGCGGAGGATGTGGAGATCTGCCCCGCCCAGGCGGGCGGGCAGGTATCCCTATCCAGCGCTCCTCGAGATCCCAGGGCACGACCCCGCAGCGGTAGATGTGGACTCCAGATTTCGTAATAAAAGGGAGGGGGTCTGGACCTTCCAAGACAAGCCATTTCAGACCTCCCCCGTGGGAGAACCCTCCAAAACATCGTCTCCAGACCCCCCAGGCCCTCCAAGATAGCCTGGAAGAGACCCCCCCCCGAAATGAGACCCCCTCCCTTTATTACGAAATCTGGAGGACATACTCTGGCGGTGGACCGCTTGTCTGGCCGTGTCCCCCGCGAAGCGGCGTGCATCATTCTCGCCCTGGACGCCACCGCCTTGCAGGCCGACGTGCGGATAAGCAGAGCCGCTCGCGGCCAGCAGCGCCGCCGCCAGGGCCCCGCGGGGGCGCCTGCGCATACCGCGCCCCATGGTGGGAGACGCGCCGCTGCTCCGGAGGCTCCCGTCCAGCGCAGGTCGAGTCGAGTCGAGGCGGAAGGAGAGCAGGAGGAGCGGGAGGAGGGGGGGGGGAGGAGGAGGAGGAGGAGGAGGAGGAGGAGGAGGAGGAGGAGGAGGAGGAGGAGGAGGAGGAGGAGGAGGAGGAGGAGGAGGAGGCGGAGGAGAAGGAGCACGAGGAGGATGAGGAGGGAGGATGGGGGGCGTCTGGCGGAAGGGAAGCTAGAGGAGGAGGGGGAGGAGAAGGAGGAGGAAGAGGAGGAGCAGGAGCAGGATGACTCTGTGACCACTTCCTCACCCCTGGGACAGTTCGGTAGCCATGTTCTTGGCCCGATCGATCGCACGGGCCTCCTCATGTGGCATTGCGGCCACAACCCTCTGGCTGGTTTCGGCATGTAGCAGAAGATGAGCGTGAAAAAGATGCCCGATACTGCGAAGGCTCGTCTCAGACGGAGACGCGAGCGGAAATCATCTAAGAACACCGCTGACCAAAAACAGCAAGCCGGTGTTTGGAGCAACGAGCTCCGAGAGGCAAGAGCACCGAAGATACTGCCGAAGCGAGTCAACACCACCCGCACACCCCACGATACTGTACACCCACCCGCCTCATCACTACGCATCCGACTAGCCAGAATCCACCCGCCCGTCCAAATCTTAAGGCCCCCCCAAGCGCAACGACGGAGGAACTTTCATCAGAACAGCACACACACCACCCCCAGGCCACCCGACGTCGAACGCCACCCCCTCGACCTCGAACCACCGCCCGACCCGCTCCCGAATGCAAGCCTCGACCGCATTCGGGACGAGGGAGCGACCGGGCACGAGGGACGGGCGGGGGCGGCGGTATCGCACAATCAGCGTCAGCAGCATCGGCATCAACATCATCGTCGGCGCAATCCTGGCCTTCCCATCAGCATCGTCGGCAGCAACGTCATCGTCATCGCCATTGTCATCGTCGTCACCGTCATCAGTACAACTCCCTCCGCACATCGTCGTCGTCATCGTCATGGAAAACATCGCCAGCAGCATCGTCATCCCCGTCCTCATCCTCAAGCTCCGGCCGCGGGAGCGGCAGAGAGCAAACGCTTTTGTCCCCGAGCTGCCGCAGCGCCTCCCGCGCGGCCAGGCTGCCGCGGTGGCCCAAGGGCCGCTCGGCGAGGCGCAGGCCGCCGCCTTCGCCGAGCGCTGCCGCTGCAAGGCGCGGGGGCTCTGCCCCCGCGCGGGCCCGCGCGTCGAGGGGGCCCCCCTCGCGGCAGGCAGCAGGGCGCGCGCGCGGAGCGACCTCGGGCCGTTCGGCTTCCTCCAGCGGCTCAACGTGCCCGCTGCCGCCCCTCATCCTCGCGGCCAGCGTCGCGGTTTCCGCGCTCGGGGTCTTCGGCACAGCTCGCCTTCTGCATCCACGCACCAGGTGCCCGAAAGGGCGTCGTCAGCAGCGCCATCTCAACCTCGATCGAGTGCAGGGGGGCGGCAGCAGCTGGGACTTGCAAGCCATGGCGCTGACAGCCCGAATGCGATCTAATTCTGCCGCTTACCAGCCGTCAGTGCACGTGTCGATGATCGTTCTCGTCTTTCCCTCCAAGGTCTTGGCCACGCCTTCCCCTTGCAAGCTCAGAGAAATAGAAGGGCCAATCTCGAACCCCAGGTGTGCACATTCTTTTTCTTGGTTTAGGGCCTTGTGCGCAAAAGCTGGCCGCACCACATAAGTCAGCACACCGCCTTGCTACCCATGTTCCACGACTCTCCATCTCCGCCTCCATCGCTTTCACAAAAAGGGTAGGCCGCGATGGCGAAAAAGGACCCATTGCTTGGATCTCATTGCGCCACGCCAGCGAAAGTGAGGAGGAGCGCCTGCCTGCTGCTTTCCGCGGACGCTCCCATCTTTATCCTGCACAGCCCCTGGATGCCATCCCCCCCCATCCGGAACCTTTCATGCACCCAGCACCTGCCGCGAGAAGTCGTGGGCAAGAGACGGGAACGCCTGGTCTAAGTCGAATCACCACATGATGGAATCCTGCGTCTTGCGCGGGTCGGCTGCCAGCTCATCCGCGTTCTCAAGGACGTTCCTACCTTTTCACAAATCGCCTGTGCGACCGCGCTGGCATGACTCCTTCGCCTCCAGAATCGAGGCCTAAATCATGAGCGCATCCTGCTTTGATGAAATCCGCAGGGCGTGGTGCAGCTGCAGCAGCAGGCAAACTGCCAGCAGGAGCGCTACCAGCACCTTCAGCACCCATGGGAACAAGCCCTGCCTTGGACTTGTCCTGGGAGGCCGCGCCGTCGTCCTTTCCCGGCTTCTTGGCTTCCAACCTCTGTCGCATCTCTCGGGCCTGATTGCGCAGCTGCTGGATGTTGCCCGCTGTGGGGCCCAGCGCGTCAACGATGGCCTTCTGCACATCCTTGCCGAGGCGGCTCTTCTGACGCCCTGAGTCCCTGGCATTCCAAATCCGAGATGTCGAGGACGTCACCATCTGCGATTTCGACGTCTTCCTGGCTGCCTCCACCACGGAGCAACTGCGAGCCACCATTCCCACTGGCAGTCGCCTCCGGCGTGGCTGGCGCGTTTGGGCCTTTCGACCCTTTCGCCTTGCGTAGATCCAGCGCCAGCTCATCTTGCCACTCCTTCTTTTTTTCTTTTCCACCGCTGCAAACGACTGCCAACAGGGCAAAACTGGTCAGCAGATCCGGAAGATCGGCCGGGTGAGCCCACACAGGGTGAACCTGCAGAGCAGCACGGCGTAGGAACGCAGACAAACAAGCTGTGTGGACATCCCCACTTGGCCTACTCAGCCGAAAAGCTATAATCCCCAGTTGGCCTACTCTGCCCCTCTGGGTTTCTCTCTCTGCTTGTCTGCTCTTATCTTGCCACTCCTTCTTGGCTGTGGCTGCTGGCCGCTTCTGCTGTCGTCTGCTTGCACTCTTCCAGCCAGTGGGCCGCCTCGTCCTCCTCGGAAGTGAACACTTCCAGCTGTGCTTGGGCCCTGCGGCAGGCGACACTCCTGGCCGACATTGTGGTCTCCAACAGCCGTCGTGGCGGGGCCGCTGCTGGGGTTCGCTGGACCACGATGCCCTCCAAGGCCTTGACTTCCGCCGCTCCCTGATTGCCCAACTTCCCTTTGAGCTGCTCCAGGCTGAGACATGCTGGTTGCTTGCTGCGGGGCTTTCTCCCTGGCGCAGGGGTCGACGATTTCGATTGTTCCGTGCGCGTGGCGGCGCATGCGGCACCTGGCTTCCACCTCCTTTGCCGTTCGACCATACCCCCCGAGGTGTTCGCCATGGCATTTCCTGGGCACCGAGGAGGCGATGCAGCTGAAGCAGAACGCGCGGCACTTCCACTTCCGTCTATATCTGAACGTCGAGCAAGTGAGATCCCCGTTGGCATCTTTGCCCATGAGCTCGGACCGACGTTCCCCAAGCCAATAATAATACCCGCGGCACAGGGTGTACTCGAACTGTGGCTCTGCAAGGGCCGTGTGACGAAACAATGCCATGACGCGCAGCTGGGGATCGGAGGTGGGGGCACACCTCCCCATTGCCACACCCAAATCACTGGCCTTGAGCCAGCATGACTTGAACCAAAATGGATACGGAGGAGGAGGAGGAGGAGGAGGAGGAGGAGGAGGAGGAAGCAAATGAAGGAGGAGGAGGGAAGAAAATGAGGAGACGGAGGACGAGGAAGAGAAGACAGCCAGAACAGGACGCCATTCTGACCCTTCCCGCGGCAAACCACCTCGCCTCGCTCCAAAGACGCGGGCAGGCGGCAGAAGGGGGCCTCGAGCACGGAGGGGGCTCGAGCACGCAAGGGGCCGGTTAGGCCGTGCGCCCTGGAGTCGGTTGCCGGACCATGCTCAACTCGGGCCCTGCCGGCCAGCCGCTCGGGACCATCCGGGCACTCTCGGCGAGGGGCAGGCGCTGCAGCACATCCAGCGGCTGGGCCACCTCCGGGAGCCAACGGCGACGGCCGAAAACCTCAAACCCACGAGGGAGGCGCGCGCGGCGGGCCCTTTTTTACACCTTCGTGCACGCCGGCTTCGGCTCCGCCTTTGGGTGCACCCTGCAGCACACGCACCGGGGGCGGGTCCCAATGCCCAGAGGCGAGCGCCGCCGCCAGCGCGGCGCGGAGGCCGGCGGCCCTGCCGAGGAGGGCGCCGCCGCTGCCCTCGCGGCGGTCGGTGGGGTGGGGAAGCCCTCCTCCTCCTCATCCTCGTGCTCCTCTTCCTCCTTCTTCTCCTCCTCCTCCTCCTCCTCCTCCTCCTCCTCCTCCTCCTCCTCCTCCTCCTCCTCCTCCCCCCTTGTTGGCCAGACTCTGAGCGACGGAGCTCGTAGTGTCAGCCTCGTTCTCGTCCTTGTCCTCTTTAACCTCCTGCTCCTCCTTCTCCTCCTCCTCCTCCTCCTCCTCCTCATCCTCCCTCCTTTGTGTTCCTTGACGCGGTGCCAGGGCTGGGTGCGCCTGGGAGTTCGCTGGCAGACAAGCAAACGCTATAAACACAGTACATGTTATAAAGGGCTCCATGGCACTGCCAGCGACTCAGCCAGGGCCGACGGGTGGCCCGCAAGGGTGCGACTCTCCGTCTCCTCCTCCTCCTCCTCCTCCTCCTCCTCCTTCTCCTCCTACTATTCCTCCTCCGCCTCCGCTGCCTCCTCCTCCTCCTCTTGCTCCTCCTCCTCATCCTCCTCCGCCGCCTCCTGGTCCGCCTCAACATTGTACATAGCTGCTCGGGCTGGCAAAACACAGCAGAAGCCGTAGCGCCTGCATTAGAAAGATAGGAGGCTGGCACGGTCGCAGTGGCCTTGTATGCGGCAACATCTGTTAAGGTGAGTGGGCATATGTAGCGGTCTGGTGCGGGCTGGGCGAGAGGAAAGAAAACAATGTATCCTCCTCAAGTTTCTCCTCCTCCTCCTCCTCCGCCTCCTCCACCTCCTCCTCCTCCTACTCCTCCTCCTCCTCCTCCTCCTCCTCCTCCTCCCTCTTGGTCACCCTCATTATTTGTTTGATGTTGGTTGGGCTAGCAATGCAACGCAAACGCCGTAGCGCCTGTGCTGGAAAGGTGAGAGGTCGACTTCAGCGCTGTAGTCTTGTACAATAGTCGTCCAGCAACGAAGCGCAAGAAGAACGGACGGCAACACCAAAAGGAAAGCAGCAATTACCTTGCATCTCCTTGCGCGACGGGACGTGCCTTGCAGGACATACCCAGGGACGTCCCCAACCCACCTGCAACGAAGAATGCTACTCCATGTCCTATAATGAACGGTCCCGGAAGCATGTTTATTAAGGCGCCTTTCCGGAGGGCGGGGGGGGCCGGATTTTGTTGAGGCGGTTCCGCGTGACCGACGCCAAGGGGGGCCGGATCATTCAGGCGCACTTTGTATCGCCATTTTGGCAAGGACATTTATCATCCAACGCGCCACCATCACCGCGCATGCTCTGATATAGAATTAGCTTGTGCCCAACGCGACAAACTGTTGATAGGTTAGTGTCCAAGAACGGTTGGAAAAAAAGAAAAAATCTGGGGGGACCGTTAAAAACTAGACCCAACACTGTAGTGCGCGAGCGGAAAACAAAAAGAAGGCGGGGCAAACCAGACCGCCAGAGACGTCCCCGCGACCGCCCTGGCGCTCCGCGTGCAGGGGCGGAATCCTGCGCACCCCGTCTTGGCGTCAGGCCACGCAGGCCACGCCCTGCGAACTTGGGATTCTGGGAGCCAACCAACATAAGGCCATTCAGCCTCACAGAAAACAACGGGTGACATGTGTCACCCCCGGAACCGCGTGAGAAAAAAACGAGTGAAAAGTTGGGGTTCTGCGAGCCAACAAAACGCCATTCAGCCTCACAAAAACAGCGGGTGGCACGTGCCACCCCCGAAACACTCTGAGCAAAAGAATTTTGAATTTGGGACTCTGGGAGCCAACATAAGGCCGTTCAACTTCATACAGGTCAACGGGTGACACGTTTGACCCCCGAAACCGTGTGAGAAAAAACAATGACTCAAAATTTTAAATTCCAGGAGCCGACAGAAGGCCACCCAGCCGCGCAAAAACAACGAGCAACACATGCCGCCCCCGAAGCCGCGTGAAAATAACCAATAATGAAATTAGGATTGTGGGAACCAGCAAAAGGCCATTCAACCTCACAAAAACAAAGGGTGACACGTGTCCCCCCCAAAAAAAGTATAGGAAAAAACAATGGTAAATGTGGGATTGTGGGAGCCAAAATAAGGCCATTCAGCCTCACAACAATCAACCCGGTGACACGTGTCACCCCCGGAACCGTGTTAGAAAATCCAACTGTAAGCTTGGGATTCTGGAAGCCCACATAAGGCCATTCAACTTCACAAGAAGCAGCGGGTGACACGTGTCAACCCCGAAACCGCGCGAGGAAAAACAATTGTAAATCTGGGATTCTGGGAGCCAACATAAGGCCACTCAGCTTCACAAACAACAGCGGGTGGCACGTGCCATCCCCGAAACAGCGTGAGAAAAAAACAAATATAAATCATGGGTTCTGGGAATCAACGTAAGGCCATTCAGCCGCGCAAAACAACGGGCGACACGCGCCACCCCCGAAACCATGTGAGAACAAATATTTGAAATTTCGCATAATGGGTGCCAACATAAGGCCTTTCAACCTCACAGAAGCAATCGGTGACACGTCTCTCCCCCGAAACCGCGTGAAAAAAACAATTGTAAAGTCTGTATTCTGGGAGCTGAAATGAAGCCATTCAGCCTCACAAAAATGACGCGTATCTCAGCCGAAACCGCGCGAGAAAAACCACATGTAACCTACACAGCGCCATTCAACCTCACAAAAACAAAGGGTGGCAGGTGCCAGCCACGGAACCGCTTTAGAAAAACCAGCTGTAAATTTAGGATCCTGGGAGCCAGCACAACGCGACTCAACCTGACAAAAACAGCGGGCGGCACGAGTCGCGCACGAAACCGCGCGAGAAAAAAACAATATGAATTTGGGGTTCTGGGAGCCACCAGAAAGCTATCCAGCCTCTCAAAAACAACGGGTGACACGTGTCACCCCCGAAACCGTGTGATAAAGAACGACTTGTAAATTTAGGTTTCTGAAAGCCAGCAAAACGCCATTCATCTCCACAAAGACAGCGGACGTGTAAAGTTGGGATCCTGGGAACCAGCATACGGCCATCCAACCTCACAAAAGCAGCCGGTGACACTTGTCACCCGCGAAACCGCGTGAAAAAACAATGATACCGGAGAAAAACCCAAATCCTAACCCTTGTAGGGCTATAAAACTATGGGGATATAGGGCTATACGGCTATAGCGCTATAGAGATATATGACTATCGGGATATAGGGCTATAGGGCTATACGGCTATAGGACTATGAGGCTATAGGGCTATAGGGCTCAAGGACTATGGGGCTATAGGGTTATAGGGCTGTAGGGCTATGGGGCTATCAGGCTATACGGCTCTAGGGCTGTGGGGCTATAGGACTATAAAGTTATAGGGCTATGGGGCTATAAGGCTATAGGACTATAGGGCTCCCGGGAAATCGGCGGCGCACCTCACCTAAGCATATGAATTCGCTACAGAGGGAAGCTCTGATTGGGGAATGTGGGGACAACATAAGGCCATGTAGCCTCGCAAAAAACAAAAGGTGAGACGTGACACCCCCGATACCGCGTGAGAGAAACCAATTGCTAACTTGAATTCTGGGAGCCAGCATGAGGCCATTCAACCTCAAGAAAACACCGTGTGACGCGTGTCACCCCGAAACAACGTGAGACATAATACTTGTAAATTTAAGATCCTTGGAGCCAGCATAAGACCATTCAGCTTCCCAAAAAACAGCGGGTGACACGTGTCTCCCTCAAAACCGCGCGGGAAAAAAAACAATTGTAATGCCGGATTCCACGAGCCAGCTTCAAGCTAGTCAGCCGCGCAACAAAACACGAGCGTCACGCGCTACCCCCGAACCCGCGTGAAAAAACGAATGTAAATTTGGGATTCCGGAAGCCAGCATAGGGCCATTCAGTCTCGCAACAACAACGGGCAACACGTGCCGTCTCTGAGATCGCGTGGAGGAAAAAACATTAGAAATCTGGGAGTCTGGGAGCCGACAAAAGGCCATTCAACCTCACAAAAACAACGGGCAACACGAGCCACCCCCGAAGTGCGAAAACACAATTGTAAAATGGGGGGTTGGGGGATCCATCATACGGCCATTCAATTTCACAAAAAACGCGTGACACGTGTCACCCCCGAAACCGTGTGAGAAAACGAAATTTAAATTTGGGATTTTGGAGGCAAACACAAGGCCAGTCAGCCTCACACCGCGCGCGAGAACTGGACGACACCGCACGCGCGCGCAGTCGCGTGCCAACGTACGTACAGTGTCCCAGTACGACGAAAACTACATACACGTCGACCGAAGTAGCCTGCACATCTGCACGCATACAGCCCATGCGCTTTTACCAATGCATGCGCGTGCAAGCGCGGGTATACGCATGTATGCATACAAACATACATGTGTGCATTTATCTATCGCATCGTTCGGTCCCCATGGGATATTTTCCAGGGGGGGACACTTGAACAACTAGCTATTCGGCGGCGAATTATTGGCAGCTGGGATCGGGGGGGGGGGGATCATCATTTTTTATCGGGTTTTGGACATTACCTCTGATGCGACTCTCAGCAAATCGACGCACGACCAATATTATTGCCTTGATTCATTGTTTGTTGCCTTCGTACCACTGGGGCCGCAACCGCAATCGCTACCATGATAGCTTAGCTGGCGCCTGTACCACAGCATCATTTTCGAGATCATGGTGTTCGCCATGTTGACCGCAGTTGTTGTCGACATCGCAGGCGACAGTTTTCAACGCCATCATCATCATCGCGCAACCGCCGCCCACTCATTTCCACCACTATAACTGGAATGTCTTTTCCTGGAGGGGGGACCGGAATATCAAGGCGCCTCCCATGGATGGGGGGGCCGGAAAAAGAAAAAACCGGAGCAGGGGGGGGCCGTTTTTTAGGTGGGGGGCCTTGATTCAGGGATATGGAGTACCAACAAGTGAGGAAGGGGGCAGGGAGGAGAAGGAGGAGGAGGAAGAGGAGGAGGACCGTGTGTCCGCCCTGCTCATCCCCTCATCCCGCTCGTCCAGCACCCCCTCCTCCGACATTCCTCCTCCTCCTCCTCCATCTCCCCCTCCACTTCCTGCTCCTTATCCTCCAGCTTCTACCGCCCCCGCCTCCTCCTCCTCCTCCTCCTCCTCCTCCTCCTCCTCCTCCTCATCCTCCTCAGATCCTCTTCCCCCCACCGCATTCCACCACCACCCTCCTCTTCTTTTCGCTCCTTTCATGCGCGTCGCACTCACTGGAGGTCACCGCATGACCCGTTTGCAGACTCGCAGACGGCGGCGGAGCGGTCGCGGACATTCGCTGACGACCTCATCAAACGAGTGACACTGCATCGAGATTGACATACGTAGAGCAGAGAGAACTGTCCTGGCCGCAACGGCTCCTTCTGAATCAAATGGCCAAGCTGCGCAAGCACGGGTGTTAGGCATCGGTTGTCCAATCGCAGGATTCCTGATGCTGTCAGCTTGTGACTCGCACAATGATGTTTCTTCCAGAGGGTTCGCCATGAACGGTCTTATCCATGCCGACTCGAACGGGACTAATTAGGCGCGGCTGAGACCGAGCTTTTGCTGTGAGCCACCCCAGATGGGAGTCCCCAATAGCGTGCGCAGCTATTCTGAACATCCAGCAGGTGTTTCTCGAGGTTCCAGAGCAGCAGGAGTATGCCTTCTTGTACAATCACTCGAGGCGAAAAGCCTGGCATAATCGCGTCCTCCTTGTCCCCCTTCCACTCCCCCCTCGTCCAACCTCCTCCCCTGTCTTCGCACTGCTCCTCCTCGCCTTCCCCCATCGCCCCTCGTCCTCCGCCCACTCCGCCTCCTACCCTGTCTTGCTCCACTCTCCTCTCCCTCTCTCCCTCGCTCGCCTTCTCGGCGCAGCGACCAGTGTCGGGTGCGGCGGGGGGCTGGGGGGGGGGGGGGGCAACTCCGTCGCGGGAGGCTCCTCCTGCCCTATCTGTCTGGTCGTGCCGACAAGCGTCCACGCCCGAGGACGCAAGAGCGACGCGAGAGCCGGCCATGTGGGCCGCCCAGCCAGCCTGTCCCCCCGCCCTTGCCCCAATCCATCCCCCCATCCCTGCCCACCTCTCCCTCCCTCTCTCGCTCCTCTTCGCCGTCCTCATCGTCGTCGTGCTCGCCCTCGCCGTCTGCGCCCTCACCCTCGTCGTCGTGCTCGCACGGGTTCTCGTTGCTCCCGTCGTCGTCGTCGTCGTCGTCGTCGTCGCCTCGTCGCCATCGTTGCCCTCGCCGTCGCCCTTGGCGCCCTCGTCGTCTCCGCCGTCGTCGCCCTCGTCGAGCTCGCCCTCGTCATCTGCGCCCTCGCCCTCGTCCTCGTCGCCGTTCTCGCCCTCGCCCTCGCCGTCGTCGTCGTCGTCGCCACCCCTCCGCGGCGGCGAGGGCCCCCGCCTCGCCCCCGCCGGCGGCCGCGCGGCAGTCGTCGAGCGCCGCGAGGTGGGCGGCGAGGCAGAGGTACTCGCTCATCTTGACCCGCACGGCCTCCCTCCGCCGGAGGGGCCCGGTCCATGGGCGGCCCTCCCCCGGCGCTGCGAGGGGAGGCGGAGGGAGGAGGAGGAGGAGGAGGAGGAGGAGGAGGAGGAGGAGGAGGCGGAGGAGGAGGAGGAGGAGGAGGAGGAGGAGGAGGAGGAGGCGAGAGGAGGAGGGAGGAGGAGGAGGAGGAGGAGGAGGAGGAGGATGAGGAGGAGGGGAGGAGGAGGAGGAGGAGAGGAGGAGGAGGAGGAGGAGGAGGAGGAGCAGCAGGAGGAGGAGGAGGAGGCGAAGGGAGGAGGAGGAAGGGGACGACGAGGAGGACGGAGACCTGGATCCTCGAGGAGGAGCAGGAGGAGGAGGAGGAGGGGCAGGAGAAGGAGGAGGAGGAGGCGAAGGGAGGAGGAGGAAGGGGACGACGAGGAGGACGGAGACCTGGATCCTCGAGGAGGAGCAGGAGGAGGAGGAGGGGCAGGAGAAGGAGGAGGAGGAGGAGGCGAAGGGAGGAGGAGGAAGGGGACGACGAGGAGGACGGAGACCTGGATCCTCTCGATCCCCGCGCAGCCTCCCTCCTCGATCTCCTCCCTCGGGGGAGCCGGGGGGGATGGGGGGCACACGTCCTTCCTGTTGCCAAGCCTTGCCCTCGACCCTGGAGGGTCGGGGAGGATGAGCTTTTCGGATGTCTGCTTGGCCCCTGTCGGGCCTCCGGAAGGCTCGGAGGCTCGGCAGACCACGAGCACAGGAGCAAACACCAGCATAAACACAAACTCCAAAAGCTCCGCGTCATCACCCTATCAGCAGCCAATCCGGCACCCATATGACTTTATCGCTGTCATGGCACAATCATCAACAGCATCAACACCATGTCTCCTCATAACCATAAGCCATAATCGAAGCCATAATGGAAGCCATCAACCACGAATTCATCGTCATCGCCACCATCATCAGCAATGCCACCACCATCACCAGCATCACCATCACCATCGATACCCATTATATAACCATCACACGCACCATCATCTTGATCATCGTCAGCATCATAATCATCGCCATCCGTTGTGCGCATGCACACAATATTGTGTGATCATGCCAACGCTGATAGTGTCGTGCCAAGCCTGATGATTCTACGCGGGCATGTTTACAATCTAGGCGATGTGGAACAATAAATCCGTACTCCATCCCCACCCCCCACCCACCTATGCGTGCAGGACCCCAAAACGATTTACGGCGTGATCCACACACTGGCGAGCGCCATTAATCAAAAAAGGGAGTGATGAGGTCACAAGCCGAGGGGTAGGGATGTGGGAAACGACCATAAATTCTGCTTCTGCTAGAAGCATACTGACAATAATTCGACAAACTCCGCAATAGCGAAAACAACTCCACAAGCAGTCTTCTGCGCTCTTATACAAAACTGCCATGATGGGCAATGCTTGTAAAAAGTGGCAGACAATCATCTCTGGATGGTCTACCCGTCCACTGTCGCGCCGAGGAGATGCAACCACAGTGTCGCACCTCGCTGAAGGGAGGAATGGACTTCTAGATGGTTTGTCAATCTACGTGAAAATGTCCCAACACGACCCTGCAGATCAACTGAACTTGAGTCTTCCTTCTTCCCGCCTGGCCAGAATATAAGCCAACCTTGCTCGCCAAGTCCGCAACGTATGACCAGGTGCCAAGCAAAGACCCATGTCGTGGAGGCACAATATAGAAGCCTTCGCGCAAAACCTCAGGCACCAAGTTACCTAGTATACCATGGAATCAACACTGGCAAGGTTATCAACCATACCAACCCTGGACGAACCACCTCAGCGGACAATTTCGCTGCAAGCTTCTACGCTTCCCGGGTCAAGGCAGTTCGCCTGGCGATCGTTTCTGGATGGCGATGATGGTGGCGATGATGGAGGCGACGATGCGCACTCAACACGCTGCAATGCGAACCGCGGACAAGCAACGCAAAGCAAGGCTTAGCACATCGAAATAAGCGTGGAGCCCAAACAACATAAACGAACAACGGCGCGCCCTGGCAGCCCCGCGGCTTCCCTTTGCGTGGAGTAGTGCGTGGAACTGGTGCAACTGGTACAACTGGATAGAACTGGTCATAGAACTGGTCGTCGAACTGGCCCGCTTAAAATAGGGTAAGGCATAGAACTGGTCGTCTCAAATTAAGAATAATAATGTGTCAAATTGGTTCTTCTTAGGATGTCGACCAGTTCTATGCCAGACCCTATTTTTAATGGGCCAATTCGATGACCAATTCTATCCAGTTGCACCAGTTCCGCAACGAAGGAAACCCGCATCAACGAAACAACGAAACTCTTCTTACCCAGACGTGGTAATCAACACTGGCAAGGTAATCAACCATGCCAACCCTGGACAAGCCACCTCAACGGACAATTTCGCTGCAAGCTTCTACGCTTCCATGGTCAAGGCAATTCGCCTGGCGATCGTTTCTGGATGGCGATGATGGTGGCGATGATGGAGGCGACGATGCGCACTCAACACACTGCAATGCGAACCGCGGACAAGCAACACAGACCAAGACTTAGCAAATCAAAATAAGCGCGGTGCCAAAACAACAAAAACAAACAACGGCGCGCCCTGGCAGCCCCGCGGCTTCCCTTTGCGTGGGATAGTGCGTGGAACTGGTACAACTGGCATGACTGGATAGAACTGGACATAGAACTGGTCGTCGAACTGGTCCGTTTAAAATAGGGTAACGCATAGAACTGGCCGTCACAAATTAGAGATACTAAATGGTCAAACTAGTTCTTCTTCGAATGCCGACCAGTTCTATGCCAGACCCTATTTCTAATGGACCAGCTCTATGACCAATTCTATCCAGTTGCACCAATTCCGCAACGAAGCAGACCCGCATCAACGAAACAACGGAACTCTTCTTACCCAGACGAAGTACGCCTGAAGGCTCGGGCCTCAGCAATCAGTTCCGCAATGCTAGGGCTGAAGGGGACGAGGTGGAGTTTACAAAGAGGGGTTACGTCTGCCCAACATCCTTTGGTTCTCAACATACGCGAATGCTTGACTGCCACTTACGAAGAGCAAACTGCCCATAACTTCGATGCGAGGAACAACCTTCACACAGCCACCCTTGTAGCAATGTCGATGTTGCAACCACGCGTTACAAAAGAAATCCGCGAACTCTCTGGCAACAGGGCCAGTCATCAATAAAGATTTGTATCGAAGCAGTGCATGAGCATTTTTTAAGGGCGTGGTAAGTCTGGTGTTCTTGTTTACATGAACAACTAATGCGCGCAATCCACAGAAGGTACGGCAACTTTTCCATGGTTGACTCGAAATCCACCTGTCCCACGTGATCGTCGCCAACGATATGAGTGCACCGTTGCCTGATGCACCCTTTTTCGACCATGACATGGACCTCGCACCCTTCAAGTGCGAACACCTTCTTTCAACGGCAGGTGTTCGTGTAAACTTTCGGGATTTCGAATGACGAAGTCATAATTACGTGTCCGACGTCACGTTAAACATCATATTCTATGCGTCTGGCAAATCGTCATTCTAGTCAAAAGCTGATCGCCAAGGCCAAACACCAACGTGGCAAGACGCGTTGTCGATGTTTTCACTGGCTACCCCGCTTACAGGCTCATCTCCTGAAGGCTGATCATGTACGAGGGGAGGAGAAATATACATCAAGTGGAAGCGTAAGGTTTCTGATAGTTTCACGTGCCTTCGTTTTGAAATCAGTGTATACGGCATCAACATGAGGGATCCGCATGGTTGAGACTTCTGCTTGTACGCCGCCAAAACGCATGGCAACTACAACTAAGAACATCCGAACATGTGCGAATCGGCACCCTGATCTAAAGCGGCTGCAGTGGAAAGAGGGGGATGCGGTGTAAGGATCATCCAGATGATGATGCAAGGCGGGTATACACATGACAAGTGCGGAGCGCCCCAATTGGATGGATTGGCAGTTCCATCGACGCAAAAAGCAGAGGATGGCAGGGGATGGGCTGGATTGGCGCATGGGGTGGAGCAGCGGGCAGGGGATGGATTTGCAGCTCACATGTCAAGAAATTCTAGCAGGGGATGGATTGGCAACTCCATCGACGCAACAGCCGCCAATTCGCTGGCGTTTGGGCCTTGCGGCACTGGCTCGCCGCGCAGACGCCTGGCATCCAGGCGAAGCCAGACATCCGCGACTTGGGTGTCGGTGCCACCGCTGGCCGCGGCCGCTGTTGCGCAATCTCTGCCGCGCGGCTCCGCGGCGGGCAGGGCAGCTTCGGGCGGCTGGGGCGCCTGCCGCTTCGTTTCGGCCAGCGCTGCTTGCTGGGGGCGGCGGCGGGCACTGCGGCCGGGCTGTAAAGAGCGGCCTGCGGCCAGCCGCCTGCGAAGGAGCTCGCCCAGTCTCCGCGCGGCTGGGCGCTGGGCGGTCTGCCGCGGGGGCCTGCGCGCTGGTGGCTCTGAACTCGTTCTCGCCATCCTCGCCCCGTCCTGGCGCCTGGACCCGGCGGCGGTGGCGACGATCGCGCCGCCATGGCAGGCTGCGAAGTCTCTCCGCCGCGGCCGCTTCCCGCCGAGCTGTGGTGGCAGAGCGCGGGGCCCTCGCAACGGGGCACGGGCGCGGCTCCGGACCAGTCGCGGCCGCGCTGAAGAGCTCGGCTGAGCTGCAGCGGGGGTGCGACATCGAAAGTTGGACTGGCGTGCCGGCCGCGCCAGGAGGCTGGCGCCCCGCCCCGAAATAGGAGACCGATTTCTGACCACACCCACTTCCCGAGGTGCCTTGCGAAAAGCGGTTTCCAGAGGTGGAGGTGGGCAGTTTCCCCGCCCCAGGGGAAGGAAAAACTACCCACTTCCACCCCCGAGGGCCTATCGTAGAATCGAGGATCCAGAGGTGGGTGTGGTCAGAAATCGGTCTTCGATGAAACCGTTGCCGGACATCCGAGCGGTGCTCCTGGAAGTCTCGCCCAAGCGAGATGACTGGCGGCTTGCGGTCCGGCGAGCAGACTTCCGGCACGTCGACGTCGGCGTTGACCGACGGGCCACGAGGCGGCTCTTGACGAGTGGCGCGCTGGCGGCGGACGCCGCCGGAGCTCTGCGCGCACTGCTCGCTAGCAACGTGATCACGTGACCCGTTGCTGCGAAGTGGGGGCGTCCGCCCGCGTTTCCTCTCACTGCGGGCACACGCGGAGGACCTTGTACACCGACTGTGGGCATGCCCGCGATGGGAGCCAGATCGCTGGGCCGCGCTGCAGCATGAGGGCTTCACCAGCGAGGCCGCCCGCGCCTGCCTGCCGCCAGAGACAGCGCGCACGAGCGGTTCTGCACCGGGGCCCTCGCCTGGCAGCCCTCGCGGAGGAGGCCCGCCTGCCTGCGCTGCTGCCGGCGCTGCCAGACCCACAGGCGGGCCCACAGGCAACGCGGCCGAACTGGCCGCGCGGGTGGAATGACGGCTCCTGCGTGCACCCTCTGGAGGCCCCCTCCTCGCCAGGGCCGGCTGGGAGTTCCACCTCGACGACGGCGCCGTGGGCCGCGTGCACGTGGCCCTTTGGACAGCGCACAGACGGCGCAGCGTGCCGAGGTCTGGGCGTGCGTGCAGGCGCTGCACCTGGTGGGGTCTGGCGGGCGGCTGCGTGGGGGTAGTCGACCTCCGATTCGTCAGCCGCGGGGTCGCGGCCATCCAATGGGGCACTTGCCTGGCCGAGTGGGCGCATGCTGATCTCTGGGAAGCCATCGCCCTGCATTGCATTGCCGCAGCGGCATGCTGCGCACCTGGTGGGTCAAGGCGCACTGGGACGCCGACTCAGCGTGCGAGCGCGGGCTGTCGGAGGAGGACCGCGCGGGCAACGCGGCGGCGGACCGCCTGGCCAGGATGGCCTCGAGGCTCGGCTGCCGGCGCTCGCGCTGCGCCAGGAGCGCACGCGCCAGCTCGCCGCCTCGGTCCAAAGGGCCCTGGCCTCCGTGGAGCAGCTGAGCGCCGCGCGGCCCGGCAAGCCCGCGAGTTCGGCGGCGCTGGGCGCCTCCGCGGGGCGCGCGGCCACGGCAGGCCCCGCTGGACCGCGCAGCGAGGCCAGCTGCTATAGAGGGCAGGGAGGGCGCGCCGGCGGCCGCGGGCCCGGCGCTGTTGCAGCCGCTCCGCCGCCTCCGCTGCCCGCGCCCGGCGGCGGCGGTCTGGGCGCTGCTCGCTGGCCAGGCGTGGCGGGCGCACGTCGCGCCCCGAGGGCCCAGCTTTAAGTCGGGCTTGTCCCTCACAGGGGGGAACTTCAAAATAGTCAAACAATAGTCTGGGGACTATCTTTTGAATATTTTTTGACCATTGTGGAACATTTTTTGCATATTTGTTATTTTTCGTCGAAAATCCCCCTGTAGGGGACACGCCCGACTTAAGCCCAGCTGGGCCGCCTGCCTGCGCATGCGGGGGGGCTGGGCCCGGCGGCGGGGACTTGGCAAGCCGGCCGTGCGGCGGCCGGGCGGCGGCGCCGCCATCCCCCGCGCGGCGGGCCTCCTGCGGCTGCCCGCGGCGCGCGCCCACGGCGCCGAGGTGCGCGCGCGCGCGGCGGTCGGCGCGCCTGATCGAGGGGGTGCCGCCGGTGGTGCGGGCGCTGCCGCGCGCCCGCCGCGTGCCTCCTCTCCGGGAGGGAGGGAGGGAGGGAGAAGGCAGGGGAATGGGGACGGGAAGGGGCGGGAGGGAGAGGGGGAGAGGGCGGGAGGCACGAGAGGAGGGAGCAGAGGGAAGAGGAGAAGTAGTGGGAATAACGGTGACGACGATCACATCGGCAACAGATATGACAACGGAGGCTTTGGACACGACGGAAGAGGAACGAACATGTGGAGGACGAGGAGGAGACTCGACGAGAACGAGGGGCTTGGGAAGAGGGGCAGGGGCAGGATGTTGAATCAGGGCATGCACACACGGGCAGGGGCGAACACATTGGGCTCGGATGATCATTCACAATGGCCGATGGCCGACCCCAACAGCCCCACCAGCGCAGTGTGACCGGCAGCCCAGCTGAGCGGCAGCTTTCAGCCGAGCGCAGGGAAGGCGCACGAAGGGACAACTTTGCAGGAAACCCCGCTGCCAATCCTTGGCGGTGCGCACAAGGGGGTGGGGGGGAGGGGGGGGGCTTCTTAGAAGGAGGCTGCTTCTTAGAAGGCTTAGATAAGGCCCGGGCCTTTCTAAGAAGCAGGCGTGCTTCTAAGAAGCCCCCCCCCCTCCCCCCACCCCCCACCCCCCTCTGCGCGTGGCTGAAATCCCCCCCCGGCGTGCCATCTGCTCGTCCACGGTGGCCTCCTCGGCCGACGCGTGGTCCCACCTGGGCCGCTCCGAGCCCGGTCGCCCTCGTCGTGCGTATAACGTGCTCCGTCGTGCGGTCCGCCTCCCCGAGCTTGCGATCGCGAGCGCATGCTCACGTCTTGCCGTCGCTCGGACGTCCATTTCCCGTGCATTGTTAGGTTTCCTGCGTGTTTTTTTGTTGCTCGATGGTCCAGGATGGTCCTCGACGTATCTCGCCGAGAAAAACTGCACACGTCCGAGCGATGCCGCGACGTGCCCCCATTTTGTTCTCCACCCGGCAGGCTCGGGGGTGCCAGACTCCAAGAAACGCCTGACGGCCAGACGCACCTCGACCGCCCTACGAAAGAGACGGGCAGGCCCCAGGCGCCCCTGGTAATCCCCCGTGGCCCGCCTCGCCCGAAGAGTCTCCAAATTCGGGGATGGACAGACCCCCCTTTAGTAAAACGTGGTTTAGTGAAAACGACCTGAGGCCCAAACCTGGCGGGCGCAAGCCTGGAAAATGACGGCCACGGCGCCCTCTCGAGAACCGAAAACGGACAATTCACTAATCGACGTGTCACTGTTGGGGGCTCTGTCCACCCTCGACAAATGTCCCTTGTGTCCCGCCTCGCGCGCCGTGCATGCACACTGCATACATACTTCCACCGCCAGGCCCCTAACATTCCCGGGCCTCCCTGGTGTTGTGCGTCGTGCCCTCGACACATGAGGGCTCAACAGAAGTGAAGAGCCAGCATAACCAGCACTCGCAAGCACACCACGTCTGGCACAATCATGAATCCAAGACGCCCAAAGAGGCCTCCATAAGGCCTCCCAAGAGGGGCCCAATAGGCAAACATCATTGATTGTCCGTACGTTTTTGAAGGATGTGGCCGTTCTCGCCTTGTCGGCTTTTCGGATGCTCCAGGGCTGCCCAGGAGGCCTCCAAGACTACCCCAAACCAGCCAGAGAGGCCTCCAAGAGGGCTCCAAGACGGCCTAAGAGCGCCCCAAGACGGCCCAAGAGACGCCCCAGTCGCCCCAAGACGGCCACAAAAGGGGCCAAGAGAGGGAACACGAACCGAAAATCCGAGCCGTCCGCCCGCCCCAAGAGAGGCGTTCCAGAGCCCCCCGAGAGGAGCTCCAGAGGCCGTAAGAGGCCCCAAAACGGCTCCCAAGAGGCCTCCAAAGTGCCTCCAAGAGCCCCCCGAGAGGCCTCCCACGAATCCTTCCCACCCGCAACCAAGGCACGATGGAGGCATGGGCCGAAGGCAATTTAATGTATACAGCGAGGGACCAGATACACCATGTGCATGAGGCACGTCTACTTTGCATTACCCAAACAGCGTCTGCACTTAGATGTTCTTGAAGTGGCCCTGGGACACACAAATAAATACACACAAATAAAAGGGTGCCCCGTATTTCCCATATTTTCTAGGTTTTTGTCTTCCCGCCCAATTCCTACATTTTCCCATATTTTCTCGGGGATCCACGATGAATTGTGTCTGTGTGATTTTTCCCTCCTGATAACTACTCCCCACGTCAACGTGTGGACTGCCCCGGGCTTTTGCCCGGTGCCCGCCCAGTGCCCGCCGCTGGGCGCCTCGTGCTGGGGCGGCTCCAAGGGACGTCCGCCCCGGACCCCGCCCGAGGGCAGCTCTTTGCTTCCTGCTGCCCACCGCATAGCTTCCACGGCACGTCTTGCACCGCACCGACTGCACGACGTAGCTTGCACCACAGACGTTACACCACGTAGCTGGCGCCGTCGAGGTTGCACAGCATGGTTTGCACCGAGTGGCCTGCACCACATAGCTAACACCACATAGCTTGCACCGTGCACGACACAGCTTGCACCATATACGTTACACCACGTAGCTGGCACAGTCGAGGTTGCACAGCATGGCTTGCACACCAATCGGCCTGCACCACATGGCCAACACCACATTAGCTTACACCGCGCACGCTGCACCACAGAGATTGCAGCACCTGGCTCACCGCACGTAGATTGCACAACGTGCATTGCTCATCGAGGCCGCAGAAAACACTTACTGATCGGGGCCCACGCTGGCACACATGCCACACGCACAAGCATACCACACACACCCCCAGCAGTACGTTCACCTAGGGGTTCGTGCTTTTGAGCAGGGACCGACCGTCCCGGCATTCCTACAGTCTTACCACGAAATGTTCTTAGAACCCATAAATGTTCGAAGAACAAAAAGCAATGTTCTTAGAACATAAGCCCGATGTCATAAAACAAGATAGACTCCGCCAGAAATGTTCTAAGAACGTGTCGTGGAAGCCACAAAAGAATATTTGAACATTGTTTGGTGGGGCTATAGGCGAACCAGGACGCCTCGCCACTCACTGCTTGAAGCTTGTCTCCTCGAGCTAATATGCACAGGTCCCCCGGAGTTTCCGCCCGGCGCCAGCCCAGTGCCCGTTCGTGGGCCCCCCTCGCGCTGGTTTTGTTTTGTTTGAGACTTCCCACGCACGCGAGCTCCCGGCGAGCTCCCGCGAACGGCTCTCCCCTGCCCCTGGCGCTGGGTGGGACCCCCAGCGGCGTGCCCCGCGCCCGCCTCTTGCCTGCGGGGGCACCCGTCGACCCCGCTCGGGGGCCGCGCCCTGCTGGCCCCGGGGGGGGGGCCCGAGGATGGTCTTCCCGGGCGCCGCCCCGTTCCTGGGACTGGCTTCTCGTGGCGGGCCGCTTCTTGCTGGCCCCGGGCAGGCAGGAGCCGCGCCCTGGCGGCGCATCGGCAGAAAATGACACGCGGAAGACATGCCTGAGCAAAACACATGCAACACATGCGCGTGCAGACGCCGAACCAATGCAGTACCTCGGGGAGCAAGCGCCGGACCCTTCGTGCCGGAACCGCGCGAGGGAGAGCCGCATTTTCCTGGAATGGTCCAGAGAATGGTCTTCCTGGAGGCCACGAGGCCAACGCGGTCGGCATTGCCTCGCGGCAACTGGGGGCCGTGAAGTCGCCCCTGTCCTGGTGTGCAGTCTCGCCAGAATTTCGAGGAGGATCCAGCCGTGGAGGTGTGCAGTCTCGCCAGAAAACTAATAAGAAAACCAAGATAAGATCCACAAGCCTACAACGAGCGAGTAACATAACAACCATACCGTAGCACCCCGCAGATGCGGATAAGAGTGAGGGGGCGGCGGGGACGTCGGCAGTCTGCGAGACTCTGGAGAAGCCCGCCGCGGGCGCCGCAGTCAATAAACAAATGTGGGTAGGTCGCGGGTGAGTCGCGGCTGGGTCGCGGCTGGGTCGTGGGTGGGTCGCTGTTGGGTCGCGGGTGGGTCGCGGGTGGTTCGCGGGTGGTTCGCGGGGTGATTCGCGGGTGGGTCGCGGGTGGGTCGAGGGGTGGGTCGCGGGTGGGTGGGTGGGTCGCGGGGTGGGTCGCGGGTGGGTCGCGGGTGGGTCGCGAGTGGGTCGCGGGGTGGGTCGCGGGTGAGTCGCGGGGTGGGTCGCGGGTGGGTCGCGGGGTGATGGGTCGCGGGGTGGTGGGTCGCGGGGTGGGTCGCGGGTGGGACGACGACAACGAACAAACAAATAACAACAACGCAACAACGCAACAAGCAGAATCCTCACCACGGATCCCCACTTCAGCCACGCACCCAGGGACAATGAATGACCGTTCGGCCCCCTCACTCCGACCACCAGCAAAATAGAGATCCCTCAGGAACTATAAAGACACCGCGCCGCCGCCGCATGGACAACCACGAGCCGCGGCCGCCACGAGCAGCCTCCCTCACCCACGCGCGCGCCGAGCCCAGGCGACGACAACGACGACGACGACGACGACGACGACGACGACGACGACGACGACAACGACGACGACGATGACGGCAGCGATGACGGCGGCGACGACATCGACGACGACGACGACGACGACGACGACGACGGCGATGACGACGGCGACGGCGGCGACGACAGCGGCGGCGACGGCGGCGACGGCGGCGGCGGCGGCGACGCCGACGCCAACGAACGCCAAACCGAGAGCCAAACCACGCCACGCCGCCCAGCTCCGCGCGCCGCGCGGCCGCCAGCGCGGCCAGCGCGGGTGCCAGCTTGCCGTCGGCCTCGTAGCGCGCCATGGCAGCGGCGCAGAGCTCGCGGAGGAGGTCCTCTGCCGTGGGGGGGTCGAAAACCACTGCCGTCGGACCTGGGACACGACAACACGCCTCGAGAACATGAGCCCCTCCGCCGGCCAGGGCACGCAGCACACCCACGGGCATACCCTCCGCGCCCTCCCCGAACGGGCCTCGATCCTTTACCTCGGTGCGGCCCTACGCCGAAACGCGCCCCGCGCCGCTCTCCGCCCGCCCTCTGTGCGCCTCCTCCCCCCCTCGCCGCGGCGCGCGCGCGCGCGCAACCTCGAGCACCGCCTGCCTCCTCGCAGGGCAGGGGGCGCCCCGCCCGCGCCCGCGGGGCAGAGACCGCGGGGGCTTCGCGGGGGAGGCCCATCGCTGCGCGGGAAAGAGCTCGAGGACGGCAGCCTCGTCGGCCAGCAGCTGGCCCTCGGACTGTCCGAGGCGTTGCCGGTGCCGATTCGGTGGAGAAGCGCCTGCCCGCCTGAACGCCGAATCCGCCGACACCTCGTGGGCCTCTAGGCGTGTGAGATCCTCCTCCCCTAATAATCCCCCCGCCCCCCCCAGGCCCCCAAACAGGAAATTGGACCCCGCCCTGGCTAGGCGCGATCGCGCCATGGGGGGATATAAGGTCCCAAAACAGGCCAGGAGGGCCCCCAAACGGGCCCCCAAGACGGTTCAATAAGGCTCCGAGTCGCCGAACGATCGCTCCGAGACGCCCAAGATGGCCTCCAGACGGCCCACGATGCCTCCAAGACGCCCCAAGAGGCATCCAAGAAGCATTCAAAGAGGGCCCCACGAGGCAACGTTCATTGACTTGCCTTAGGTGTTTGAATGATTCTGGCGTTCTTGCCTCCTCGGTTTCCTGGCGCCCCAAGACGGCCCAACAAGCCATCAAAACGGCACCGAAACGGCCCAAGCAGCCCCGGAGACGGCTTCACGAGGGGGCCCAGACGGGAGGGGGGCCCGAGCGGACATTTCGAGCCCTCGGCTTCGAGACGTATCCAGGGGGGCCCAAAAAGCACCCAAGAGAAGAAGACCCAAGAGGCCCCCGAAATGCCCCCAGGAAACCCCAAGAGGCCCACAAGAGGCTCCGAAGAGGCTTCCTGGTGGCTCCCACGAGGCCCCCAAATTGGCCCCCAATAGGTCCCCGAGTCCATTCCGAGGAGACCCCAAGAAGCAACCCCAAGGAGTCCGACCCACAATCCAAACACGGCGGCTGGATGGGTCGAGTGCCATAAGATATTTGACGGCCCGAGAGCCCGAACACCGCCTCCAGAAGCCGAGAAGGATGAAAACTTCAAACTGTCGAGAACCTCCACAATCGATGAAACACCTGGCGCGCCCCATCCTCCTCCTCCTCGTCCTCGTCCTCGTCCTCCTCGTCCTCGTCCTCGTCCTCCTCGTCCTCCTCGTCCTCGTCCTCTTCCTCCTCCTCCTCCTCCTCCTCCTCCTCCTCCTCCTTCTCCTCCTCCTCCTCCGAACATAATTCCTCCTCCGCCTCCTCCTCCTCTCCCTCCTCCTCATCCTCCTCCTCCTCATCTTCCTGCTCCTGCTCCTGCTCCTCCTCCTCCTCCTCCTCCTCCTCTCCTCCTCTCCTCCTGCTCCTGCTCCTCCTCCTCATCCACCTCGTCCTCGTCTTCGTCCCATTCCTCCTCCTCCTCCTCCCTCCTCCTCCTCCTCCTTCTCCCTTTCCTCCTCCTCCTCCTCCTCCTCCTCTCTCTCCTACTCCTCCCCCTCGTCCTCGTCCTGCTCCTCCTCCCTCCTCCTCCTCCTCCTCATCCTGCTCCTCCTCCTCCTCCTCCTGATCCTCCTCCTTCTCCTGCTCCTCCTCCTGCCTCCCTCCTGCTCCTCCTCCTCCTCCTCCTCCTCTCCTCCCTCCTCTTAGTCCTCCTCCTCTTTCCTCTTTCCTCCTTCTCCTCCTCCTCCCCTTCTCTTCGCCGTCCCCTCCTCCTCCTCCCCCTCCTCCTCCTCCTCTTTGTCCTCCTCCTCCTCCTCTTAGTCCTCCTCCTCTTTCTCCATTTCCTCCTTCTCCTCCTCCTCTTCTTCGTCGTCGTCCTCCTCCTCCTCTTCCTCCCCCTCCCCCTCCTCCTCCCATGTTCCGAATAGGCATTCCGGGCCTTTCCGGCCGTGTTCGGTCCACCGGGACAAGCAGAAACGCATCCAGGATGACAAATTACGTCTCGGGGGTGCTGACATCGTTCCGAAAGGCCACCCGAAAACCCGAAGACCAGATCCTGACGTTTCCTCCTCCTCCTCCTCCTCGTCCTCGTCCTCTTCTTCCTCCTCCTCATCGTCCTCGTCCTCCTCCTCATCAACATCATCATCATCCGCATCACCCGTATCAGCATCACCACCATCATCATCATCATCGTCATCATCATCATCATCAGCAGCATCATCATCATCATCATCATCATCATCATCATCGTCATCATCATCATCAGCATCATCATCATCATCCTCGTCCTCGTCCTCCTCCTCCTCCTCCTCCCTCCTCCTCCTCTTCCCTCTTCCCCTCCCATTTCTCCTTTCCTTCTTAGCACTACCCTTCGCATAGTCATCGTCATTCCTCTCGTTCTCACCCCGCCTGGCCCACGTTCCACGCAGCTCGGCGCGTGTAGCGCCATTCCAGATTCGATCTCCTACTTTGTCACCCGAACGGGCATCATCTGCTCGGCTTGCACTTCAGCGTGCCGTTTCTCTCGGCGCGCGCGACATTGCCACCCGCGACGGGGAACACCGACCTCGGACATGTTTTTCGTCACGTGCCGCTGTGTTGACACGCCTGCCAACTGCGCGCCGTGAGTCCGAAATCATGGCGATCTGCGCGCACCGCGCGCTCCAAATTCGTCGTTCGGCAACGTTCCGCTTGCCCCGTCGTCAAATGTTTCGTGGCCAAGAGAATTCGCCCCGCACGCCGCGCACGTCAACGGCTGTGCTTCCGCTTGTGCATTCCGTGCGCGGCTGCTGGACTCAAGCGTCAATGTGTCGCGCCTCCCCGCACGCTCCCGACGTCGTTCTGTTTGGACCCGTTGTGCTTTTTCAGTGTCTCCGAAATCTCCGCCACCACTTGTACAAGCGACAAGAGCTTGTCGCTGGAACGTCGCGCCGCGTCAACGTTCTTGTGCCGGTTCGCGCTGCCACGGCACGAATTCCATTGTGCTTTGACATTGTCGCGTTCCGCCCTACATTGTCCGAGTCGCGCTCGGGTCCGCCGCGTCGCCGGCTTCTGCGTCGCCGTGGTCGCCACCATTGGTCGCCACCGTACTGCGTCGACCAATCACCCTCCCATGTGATTGCGCATACTTCGCATGTCTGTCTTGCACCATTTTTCGCTCACGCATGTCACGTCCGTCGTGAAATCCTTACAAGAAGCTGGAATGTCTCTCTTCTGGAACTCGTACTTCGTGAACGCCTCTACAAGAAGCCTCCGCCGGCACCGTTCGCACTGGTTTTGCGGCATCCGTTCCGCCCCCCACCTGTCCCAATCCACGTCCTCTCCTCGGAGTACCCGCAACAGCTTCTTCGTGCTGGTCACATCGCCTTCGTTGGACGGCTTCTTCTCGAAAGGACAAAAGATCAATATCTTGTCTCGCCTTCGCACGCGCTCGATGGCAACGTAACGTGACATCCATATCACGCCGCGCCCTCTATCAACATCAGCTATGACTGTTCCCATTGTTCGTCCTTGCGCGGCGTGCACTGCTACTGCCGAGGACGGTGCGATCATGAACTGAATGCGGTTGACATTCAACGCTGGATGCTTCCGATAACCGTCCAAAAACCACAACCACGGAGGCGGCCAAGGGCCCCAGTACAGATGTAAAGGGGCCGGCGGGTGTGGCGTAAGCCCACAGGACTACACCAAAAAGCTGGAAAAACACATGGCTAGATTCACACATGGAGCACCCAGGGAAGCACGCGCTAGATACATCTCCAGGCCGAAGGTTTTTCCTCTGTGAGTAAAACGTGTAAATACGGCGGATCCCATTGGATCCTCTTTTCGGATGTGCGAAAATCTCGTGTATCCAATGTTTGCGCTTGGCGGGTCCAATTGCCTGAGGGACACAACTGAGTACTGTATTTTCAATCGTAGCTAATATCCTGGACCCAAGGGGAATGGAATCCACGGGCCACTGCATGTGAAACATAATGCTGTGAATATATAGGGATGGGGTTTCGTGATCATCCTGATCACCATGATCACCGTCATCACCACCACCACCATCATCATCATCATCATCGTCATCATCAACATCCTCATCACCATCACCATCGCCATCAACTCGAGCGTTATCTCGGCCGATCGCCCATTCCTACCACACCCGCCTCATAACCACGGAAGCAGTGGAAGGCTCGAGTGTCATTGCTCGCCCCGCCCACTCCCAGAACTCCCCCAAGAACACTCGGTATCTCGAGCGTCTTAGAAGGCACACAGCCACTCATGTTCCCCATAACAATGACAAGCTCGAACGTCACCCAGGGCACCCGCGTGGCCTTCCGAAGTCAAGAGGGAAATCTTCCGGCCTGCGGACCAAGGGTTTCGAACTTCGACTCCCCCACCTACAGTTTTCCGTGTGTCGCCAATCCCTGGCATCGGCAGCCCGGCTCGGGCCTTCGGGGGCGCAGGCGGACGGGTGTGAGGGGGTAGCGACAGCGCCGCTGGCGTAATCGACCCTAGGGGTGACGTGTGGCCTGCTATGTGCATGCGCGTGTACACGTGCATGTGCGCGCGTGCGCGAGAGCGCGTGCAGGGCGCGCCTGGGAGCGTCACTACCTTTCGCCCCGCAGCGCTTCCAACAAAGGCAAATACATCACTCCCACGACGTGGTTTGCACATTGCTGCGGGAGACGGATGAGCGAGCGCCGGGGATAGTGGAAAATAAGCGCGTTGTATGGTGAACGTTTCGTGCCATCGCCGCCCTTGCTCACAGATGCGAGAGGCGCACGAACTCCTTCATCTCCAGGCAGATTTTTCCTCTTGAAATAAAAACGTGTAAAAA